GCCAAATCCTATATATGAGTCTATCAGAGTACAGATCTTGGGAAGCAAGGACTTACCTTTAGTTTAGGTTGTACTATGCCTTAGTCCAGTTGAGGAGAGTAGAAGTGTGATGAATTGTTTAGAGGGGGAACCAATTGCCTTGATAGTCAAGGGAAGTACAGGTGGAAATGGTAGTTCTTTTAAGAAGGGTGACTTCCAAAAGCTAGTGGATATTAAAGACAAACTTTGGTGCACACATTGTTAGAAGTCCAGAAATACTAGAGGCACATGTTGGGATCTCCATGGGAAGTCTAAGTGGGCTCAGGAATTAAGTTAAAAATCAGCATCTTATTAGGGAAAAAAGCCAATTCAGCAGAATCAGAAGAACTATAATTCAGCAAATGTGGCCTCCCAAGAAACTATTCCCGTAGTAACTCAGGAATGTCCCTTTGGTTCTAATTCCAAGGTAGAGATTATCAATTCTTTTCGTGACCATTTTGACCTATATGGTAGGACATTTTGTCAGGTAGATTCTGGCCCTACTCCTACTTCCTTTGCGTTTACATCAGGTAACTCTACCATTGCCTTCCATGTGTCATCTCATACATCTGAGTCTCCTTGGATAATTGACTCTAGAGCTGCAAATCACACGACTGGTAAGTTAAATTTGTTTCAGACATATAACCTCCTCTTTGGGAGAGATAAGGTGAGAGTGATTGATGGTTCATTCTCTACCATAGCCAATCAATGAACCATCTCCCTTCCATTTGGCCTTACCCTCTCTAATGTGTTGCATGTTCCAAAATTTCCTATCAATTACTTTCAATCAACAGTATTACTCATTCTTTAAATTACTTAGTAACCTTCTTTTCTTCTTCTTGTGTGTTCTAGGATTTGACCTCAAAGAGGACGATTGGTAGAGGAAGTATGGTGGATGGTCTCTACATGGAGAATCAAACTATTCTTGTGGTTACAAAGTCTTCGAGTCTATCTAGTGAGAGTCAAGCCTACTTATGGCATAGTTGTCTTGGCCATTTTTCTTTTGATTCATTAAAGGTTATGTTTCTAGAGTTATTTAAGTATTTGTCATTAAATGAGTTGCAGTGTTAGACGTGTCAATTGAGTAAACATTGTAGAAGTTCTTTTCCTTTAAGAAATAAAAGATCTGAATTTCCTTTTCACATTGTTTATTCCGATGTTTGGGGACCTATTGCTCTACCTTCTGAAACTGGTTATAAGTATTTCATTACTTTAATTGATGAGGTGCCAAAGATTGTTAAAGATTTTCGATGCATGATTTTACTCAATTCCAGATTGAGATTCATATTTTCTAGTTGGACAATGCAAAGGAGTATTGTCATCTCACAGAGTTCTATGCTTTGTGTGGATCCCTTCACTGAAGCTCCTGTGCTAAGACACCTCAACAAAACAGTGTTTTTGAGAGGAAAAACCGTCATCTTCTTGAAGTTGCTCGTGGGTTTTTACTACATATGTATGCTCTAAAATGCTTTTGGATGGATGCTGTTATGTGTGTTGCATATATCAATTGTATGCCATCTTGGTTGCTAGAGTATAAGGCCCCGCATAAGCTTTTGTTTCCTAAGGCCCTTTTGTTCTCTATTCCAATGCGTCTCTTTAGATGTCGTTACTTCATTCATGACCTGTCCCCTACTCATGGTAAGCTTGACCCTCGTGCTATCCCTTGTGTTTTTCTAGGTTACCCTTTGTCTCAAAAGGGCTACCAATGCTATGATCCAATTTCACACAAGTATTTTGTCTCCATGGATGCATCCTTTTTTGAGGGTCAACATTTTTTCCCGATTTCTTGTTAGGGAGGAGTAGGGTTGAAGAGAAACACACTCAGGTTCAATTACCTCCTCTTCCCGATCCTCTTTCATTCTAAATCTTTGTCACCACAAAGGCCAGTAGAGTTCCAAGAGCCATGGAATTTGAAACTGCAAACATCATCAAACTCTCTAGAGGTAGATCCCCCTCAGCTAGGTACACTTGTTCCTATTGATATGCCTGATCCTCTTGATATTAATCCTCCTGTTATTGTTGACCTTGATGTTCCTATTGCTAAGAGAAAGGGTGTTAGATCTTGTACTACTAATCATCATGTCTCTCACTTTGTGTCTTATGATCACATTTCACCTTCATATTGTGCTTTTCTTTTCTCCATTAACAACATTTTTGTTCCTAAGAATGTTGTAGAAGCTTTATCCGTACTCGAATGGACAGATGCCTGGAAGGAAGAAATTAATGCCTTGCACAAGAATGGCACTTTGTGTCTTATGATTACATTTCACCTTCATATTGTGCTTTTCTTTTCTCCATTGACAACATTTTTGTTCCTAAGAATGTTGTAGAAGCTTTATCCGTACTCGAATGGACAGATGCAATGAAGGAAGAAATTAATGCCTTGCACAAGAATGGCACTTGGGAGTTGGTAGATGTTCCTAAAGGAAAAGAACCAGTAGGATGTAAGTGGGTGTTCACGGTAAAGCATAAGGCTGATGGTATTGTAGAAAGGTATAAAGCCAGATTGGTGGCAAAAGGGTTTACATAGGTGTGTGGAGTGGACTATGTAGAGACCTTTACTTTAGTAGCCAAGATGAACTCTATCAGAATCCTCCTTTCACTGGCAGCTAATCTTGACTGGGAACTTCACCAATTGGGTGTAAAAAATGCATTCTTGAATGGTGACCTAGAGGAGGAAGTGTACATGAGTTAGTTGTCGGAGTTTGTGCCAAAGGTAGTGAGTAGAAGGTGTGCAGGTTAAAAAATCATTATATGGGTTGAAGTAGTCACCTTGGGCTTGGTTTAGCAAGTTTCACATGGCATTACAACAGATGGGGTTTAAACAATGTCAGTCAAATCATACCCTGTTTGTGAAGAAAGGTGAAGGAAAATTTGCAGTTCTAATAGTGTATGTTGATGACATAGTGGTCATAGGAGATTAGAAAACTAAAATATAGAAGTTGAAATTCTTAGCCATTCAATTCGAAGTGAAAGATTTGGGTCCCTTACATTATTTCCTTAGGATTGAAGTTGCCCACTCTGAAAAGGGCATCTTTATTTCTCAAAGGAAATACATCCTAGATCTATTAGAGGACACAAGAGTTAAGAGTGAAGCCAATTGATTCACCCATTGACCCTAATCATCACTTGGGTGATATTCAAGGGGAGTCTATGAAAGATGTGAAGAAGTTCTAGAGACTTGTAGGGAGACTCTTATCTATCCATGACCAGAACTGACACTTCTTATGTTGTGGGTGTCCTTAGTCAATTCATTCATAATCCCAAGACTATCCCCTTTGAGGTTGCAAAAAGGATTCTTAGATGCCTCAAGAAGTTCCCAAGGGCTGGTTTGTTATTTCATAAGCATGGACATCTAAAAGTTGAAGTGTATATAGATGCTGACTAGGTAGGGGTAGTTGATGATAGAAAGTCTACCAGTGGGTATTGTATGTTTGTGAGAGGAAACCTAGTCACTTGGAGAAGTAAGAAACAAAGTGTGGTGGCCAGGTCCAGTGCTGAAGAAGAATACAGAGCTATGTCTCATGGAGTTGCTGAAATCATGTGGATAAAAATCCTATTAGCTTTGTAGTTAACAATCCTATGTCACTCTATTATGACAACAAAGCTGCTATCAACATTGTATCCAACCCAATCCTCCATGATAGGACAAAACATATTGAAGTGGACAAGCATTTTATTAAGGAAAAACTTGTCAATGGAGAAGTGTGCACTCCCTATGTCAGCTCAAAAGAACAACTTACAGATATACCAAGGATCTCCATCAGTTGTGGCCCAATGCTTTATGTGACAAGTTGGTCATGATTTACATCTATGTCCCAACTTGAGGGGGAGTGTTAGAATAAATAGTTTTATGTGTCATAGGTGCCGCAAGGGGCAAATATGTCTTTTTGGTTGTTTTACATGTCGCCCTATATATTAATAAGCCGCCAGAACTGTTTTTTGGATTGTAACTCTTTCTTCTCTCTTCTTCTTCTTCTTTGTTTTTTCTACTGTTTTACTTCTAATAACCTCCAATGAAACACCCCACCAATGCTTTCTCTAGCCATCCATGAACTCATGTGGCCAATCATTCAAATTCAATCTAATACTCACGTACAGATTCAGTTTGTTTTAAGTTTTGACAGTTCCTCATCATAATTCTTATAGGATGTTGGTCCAAATCTAATGCATAGGTCCTTTCTAAAATCAGTCCAGGTAACCCGAGGATGGGATTTTTGGTACCACAAGATGGCTTCACTATCTTAGTGAATCGAAGCAATGGCCACTCTCTGGTGGCTGGGGGTTTCATGGTACTCAAAGTACCTTTCTATCTTATAGATCTAGGGTCAACTTAGGCTGTTAGAATCTTTGTATATTTTTTTGTTCATCATCATCATCATGACCATTTTGTTCTGTTCAGTTTGTATATTTTGCTGTTGATGCAATAAAATTATCTTTACTGTTGCTTATTGAAAAAAGGAAGAAAATGTTCACTTTAGAACAATTACTAGGAGCTACATGAATCCCGTTCCACCATTCCACTCTTCAGTGTCTTGTCTATTGTTAAACTATGGGCCCTCAATCATTTATCACTACTTCAATCCATCTCTGTTAATCTGTTTTGGGCTGACCCTATCTCTGGCCCATCAGCATGCAATAGGAATTATATATTACAATTTTTTTGTTACTTGAAGATTAAAGTAGACTTGTGTATTTACATGCTTAGGTTCAATCATTCACAAGGAGCTTTTAAGAAGGGGTGGTGATACTGGACATTGCAAATTCTTAATAAATGATGCGCACCCCTAACTAGTAGCAAAAACCAAGAAAAAGAAAAAAAAAAAGTATTCTTTGGGCTGAAACTGTAACTGAATTGGAACATGCTTATTCCTAACGGCTTTGCTCTTAACCAAGATTAAATTTCCATTTCGATGGGTGTATCTTTATATGTAATTTAAAAAAAATTTTGACATGTGCTTCTATGACATATACTGTTACAGGTCCACCGTTTCATGATTTTCTATTCTCCGATATACTTCAAAGCTGATAAACAGAGCCAATACAGAAAAAAAAAAGGTATATATTTGAGTTTCCAGGTAAGGTTGTAGTGCTCTCTGATGTGCTCCATTGAGATGGCAATAGTCAATAAGTTAAAGCAGATACCCTAAATTGATTAATTCGACCTCCCATTCCAGTTGCCAGATGTGATATTTTTTTGTTAACAAATCTGGACTTTTGCTTTCTCTGCTTATTCATCCAAATTCTTACGCTTGAAAGTGCTTGACTTGGAGAAAAATAAAATGACATCTGGATTTCGTGGCGTATGGAGTATTTGTTTTGTAAACTGGCAAGTAAAATGTTTTTTTTGTTTTTTCTAATTGCATTTCTTTGCAATGATTTTTTCCTCCACCCTTTCCCTATTTTGTGGCAATCTCCTTGTTGAATTCATTGTTTTCTATAGCATTTCATGTGTTTGTGTGTATGTGTTAGAGAGAGAGAGGAGGGCTTCATATTCATAGTTCTTTCTTATTAGTGATTAGTTGGTTCAAGATCTGGAGTCTATACTCTGATATAAAGTTTTGCATGGCCAACCGTGCTTCACAAACCGGTACAATGCTGGAAAAGTTGGGTGAAAATTTTCAGAAATGCGTGAGAGTGTATATAGGCCGAGTGTAAGTTCGGTTTATTTTTGCTTCAGATTAGAGTTTGTTTTATTTGTTTTATTATAAGTAAAATAGGAAGTAAAATGATGTGGTTCACAACCTTACATGAAAGAGAATGGAGGTGGGAGGGTTATTTGTTTGGGAGTGAGGTAAGAAGCAAGATGATGTTGTATTGCTGTCTTCACTTAATATGACAGAGAAATGGATGAAAGTGGTGTAAGTTTTTATTAGTTTTTGGGATGCAAAATTTGCAGTCAGTGAGTGCAAATGAAATAAAGGCTCAGTTTGGAAGGACTACATGTACAATGCAAACGCATACAAAATAATACAAAATACATGAATTTGCTCTCTACACATTTGTATTTATACTCCTTCCAAACTGAGCCAAAAGAACATATTTTATACCAGGGAAGAATTCAAATTAGAGTTACAAACAAATGCATGCAAAACTGAACTGTGTGAAAAGTTTCTATCCGATTCATATTTAAACTGCAAACAGAGAGAACTTAAGTACAAATTATTTCAATAGTGAAAATCTGCTAATTGCTGCGCTAGAGAAGTCTCCTCCCACTGCCCTCGTTCGATCCGGTCCATTACGAATGACTGGGTTTGGATTTTTTTTTAATCTGGATCATCCAATAGACTGCAGAGCTGGGACATAGATGTAAGTCATCATTCGTAATGACTGGGTTTGGTAAGAATTCAAATTAGATTTTTTTTTAATCTGGATTTTTTTTAATCCGGTCCATCACAATTCGTGTACATATGACACCATGTGACCTATAAATTCTTTTTCTTAACCCAATATTAGCCTTTTGTTTATATGTTTCACAGTTCAAATGATTTGTTCAGGCATTGGATCTCTTTGATTTGGCAAATAGACAAATTTACCCTACTTTCAATTCTCAAAAGAAAGGCGAAGTATAATTTTCTACCCATGTATTCACATTCAATGGCACCTCCAATCAAGGTTCAAAGTATTGACATGTATTGGCCAATACGTATCGTTTTGGAAGATCCCCGATATGCCTCTATAGGGGGTTTATCGGGTTCTGACCGGTTCAGGGGGTGGAGGAGCCTTAAACTGTCCCCCCTGAACTGATTTTGAAAAAAAATAAAAAAAAAAAGTATAAAACAAAGTACCAATATGGCCTGATACGCCCCTACCGACATATCAGGCGTATTGATATTTTGAACCTTGCCTCCAAGGGCTTCGCGTTGTTGTGGAAGGCAAAGTCAATAAGATTCTTCGACTTCTGCTTTATATACCATATTAACGATATCTTTGAATGTAGGTTTTAGATTAATAGGATTTTCAATCCAAACATCGTAGATGAAAGAGAGACAGGTGTTGGGCGGCCTCCATTGATGAGAGGCTCTTTAACGGAATCGATGAGTTGACTAGAGGTGTAAATTGGGTCGTGCCGACACGACTTTGGACCGGCCCAGCTTGGCATGGCACGATAGCCCGTGGGTCGTGCCAAGCCCGTCACAATGGTCCGTGTTGTGCTAGGCTTGGGGTTCGTAATCCATGGGTTAGCATGGCCTAGCTCGCGACATGGCTCGCAGGGCCCATAGCAGGCTACGCTTAGTCCGTTTGAATTTTTACATAAATACCCCCTAATAGCTATAAATAGCTATATAAGGGGGTATTTATGTATTTTGCTTATGGGGGTAGAAAAAATGACACAAATGCCCCCAACAACTATATAACAACTAGTTTAAGGGGTTTTTTGGGTAAAGTTATAAATAACTTTACAATGACCAAAATACCCCTCTCAACAACTAAAAAATAGCTAATTTTTAGGGTATTTTGGGTAATTGAATTATTTTCAATTCCCTTCAATAGCCCTATCCTCCACCATTCTCATCACACCAATTCAACAATTTTCTTAATCTCTTCTCTCTCTCTTTCATACATTCTTTGCAATTTGAGTGAACTCTAATAGTCTGATTGGTTGATGGTTTGATTCTCCAATTCTGAACTTTATTGAAGTTTCAACAAGAAGAAGGTTTGCTCAACTAGTTCAAGTATCTCAAGTTAGCAATTTAGGAGGCTTGGATGTTGAAAGGCTTTAACCGTTGAAATCAATTTGGGATTCTGAACCGACAATCCGGGTAAGTCTCAATTATATTAATTTTAATTTTTTTTAGAATTTAAAAAAATGGCCAGCTCTTCCCAAAATCAATTCTCTAACATGTTCATTGTTGATGATATTCAGTCGCATCATGATAGTGTTAGGATTGATGCTATTAATATTGATGGAACTTTCACCCCTAGTACTGATACTAGGGGAAAGAAAAAGAGGGCCTCTAAGTTGAGTAGCCCGGTTTGGAAAATATTTAAAGTAGAGAATGTTGAGGGGAAGGGAAAAAGAACAGTTTGCCAAAAATGTAGAAAAGACCTTAGCTATTGTAGCAAAGGTGGTACTGGCTATTTAAGCATACATTTGCTCATACGTGAGAAGGAAGAAGAAGAAGAAGGGAGAGAAACAATACAAACACAAATTGGGAGAGGGGTTTTTGGTACATTTAAATATTCACAAGAAAAAATAAGACAAGAATTAGAAAAATACATTGTACATGCAAAACAATCATTTTTGTTAACTGAAGATATAAACTTGAAAAATGGTTACGTAATTCTGTAAATCCACAATATAAAAAAGTTTCTAGCTATTAGATCAAATATTTTAAAAATTTTTTATTCATACAAACAAAATTTAATTTATTTGTTATCAAATCTTAATTCTAAAGTTGCAATTACTTCTGATGTTTGGATTTCTAAATTTAACATGTTATATTTGTATTACCGACCATTTTATTGATGAAAATTGGCTCTTAAATAAAAGAATTTTAAGTTTTACTAAGCTTGAATGGCCACATACTAGCCCAGCTATTGTTGCAAGCATTTTAAATACTTTACATGCTTATGGAGTTGAGAATAAATTATTTTCTATTAGTTTTGATAATGCTAGCAATAATGATTCTACAATAAATATTTTAAAATCTCAATTAAAACCATGTTTAAACGGTAAATTATTTCATATCAGATGTGCATGTCACATCTTAAATTTATGTATTTAGGATGTTTTAAATATTATTTCTATTCATATTTCTAAAATTATAAATTGTATTATATATATTAAAAGTTTAGGGGCAAGAAAACAAGAATTTAAATATTTATGTCAAAATTATGGTTTAAAATATAAACATTTTATATTAGATGTTAAACATAAATGGAATTCTACCTATGTAATGTTAGAAAGTTGTACTTCTCATAAATAAATTCTTACTGATTTTTATAATGCAAAAATGCCTAATAATATTATATTTGAGGAAGACTGGGAAATGGTAGTTTGTATAAGAGATTTTTTAAAACATTTTTATGATGCAACTAATGAATTATAAGGTATTTATTTTCCAATTAGTTGTAATTTACCTTATCAATTAATAGTGATTAGTGATTGTTTTTCAAATTATATAAATAATTCACAATTAAATGTATTATTGAAATAATGGAAAATATTTTAATATTGGGAGAATGTTTTTCCTCTTTATTGCTTAGCTACAATATTAGATCGTAGGATTAGGAAAAATGGTTTAGGCATTTTACTTGAAATATATTGTGAAAATATGAATAGTGAAATTAGAAATAAAAAAGAAGAAATTAATAATTTATTATTTGGAATGTATAGTTTATATGAATCTGAAGTAGTAGGAAATAATCCTACAACTTGTACAACATCTTCTACTTCTGATCTTGAGCCCAGTAGTAGAAGAGAAAAACTTTTTTATTTAATAAGTAGAAGGTAGAAATCTGCTACTTCTACAACTAGTTCATTTAATGAACTTAATTTTTATTTACAAACAAATTTTCTAGTTTAGGTGAGGGAACAAATAATTTTGATTTTTTAGCCTGGTGCAGTGAACATTCAAAAAATTATCCAGTTTTCGCCGCCATGGCACATGATCTACTACCTCCTCCGGTGTCTATAATTCCAATAGTCTTGTTTTAGTGTAGGTACCAGGGTGTTGGACGACAAGAGAAGCTGTTTGAATGATGAAAATATAGAGATGTGCATATGTTTTAAGGATTGGCTAGATGTAGAAGATAGATTATAAGATAAAGGAAGGCATGACACTACACCGGATATTTCACTTGAAATAGATGAAATTCATGATTCATGAACAATAGTTGACTAGTATAGAATTTTTTATTTTTTTTTCAAATTTTTGTAAATTTGGTTTTAATTTTATTTAATTTATTTGCTATTTTTTTATTGTAACTATATTGTATTTTTTATATTTTGTTAATTTATTCCATTTTCATATTTCATTTATCCAAGTATCCAACCATTGTATGCTTTATAATTTGTATCATTCAAATTTAAATGAAATAAAATTTCTATTTTTCTTCCAATTTGTTATTCCGTCATTCTTATTTGGTTAAGTATTTTTTTTCAGTTATGTGTTAGGTTTCTCATTTCTCATTTCTTAATTTTTCAAATAGTTCTCAAAGCTCAAAGGAAAGTTAAATATTTTAGTTTTACACTTTTACTTAGAAAAGAAATAAAAAATTTCAAAAAAGAAAAATCAGTCTAGCTTGATTCGACCCAGGCCCAAGACCCGCCCTGTGGTCCAGCCCAGTACGGCCAAACTTGTGGCACAACACGGGCATGCATGGGCCTAGACCGTGGGCCATACCGGGCCGACCCCTAAATTTTTCACCAAAGAGGGCGGCACGGC